TCGTGGTTGCTGTCACCCAGCTTCCCATCGATCACTAGGTCACCGACTAGGTCATCCCCAGTAGCCAGTACCAGGTCGAGCAGCGCTTTGCCTCTCGTTGGCCCATAGACTTCTTGAGTCAGGTAGAGGTCATGCACGCATGAGAGGAAGCTCTGCGACCGCTCAGATTTTGCTGAGCGATCCTCCCATGAGATGTCCGGGTAATTGAAGTCACCCATGACAACCATGGTCCTGGAGCAAGCTGCCTCAGCCAGTTCCTGGTCAAGCTCAGGACTTTGGGTGGGAGGTCTGTAATAGACTCCCACCATTGTGTCCCCTGTGCCGTGTTCCCCACGAATTTTAACCCAGAGGGTCTCCAGCCATCCACCCTGGTCGCCAATATCAGCTTGCAGGGACGTGTAGCTTTCCTTAACATAGAGAGCTACCCCCCCCGCCCCTTTTCTCTACACGATCCCTCCTGTACAGGGTATAGGATGTTGTATTGCACTTTTTTTCCCCAGTGTCCTCACAAGTGTCTGCAAAAATGAAGTTGCCATTTAACAACACAGTAAAGTATCTGAATGGCTCGGATAAATTGTGTTCAGATTTTTATGTATTTAGTTTTTATCTTGGTATGTTATCAGAGCCCAAAAGTGCAGAACATGGGCATTTTCAGAAAACATAAAAGCAATTTCTATAAAATAGGCAAATTGCATCAGTAGCCATATGGTAGCAGGAGTATAACTTCTACTTTGTGCTGGTGTCATGAGGGTGGATGGTGGAGATAGGTGAGGGACAAGTACTGTACCTACTGTCCTGCACCTCACACTTATTCAGTGAGAAAAAAAATCACATATCCAAAGTAGTTATACTGGCAGACAAATTATGTGTAGATCTGACCTTAAATAACTTTTAAAACAAAAGCTATTAGGTAGCATATCTAGTAATGTTTCTTGCTACGCAGTTTTCCAGAAACTCTGCTGTCACTACCACAAACAATGGTTCAACTGTTCCAGTGGGGCAGCTGAGGTTGTGATGGTAAAGATAGTCTGCCAATTCTATATTCGGAGTGGGACAGAGACATTTTTATCTAAACTGAGGTGCATGTCTCTGGTTTACTCTAATGACAAGTTATTGTTTTTTCCAAATCATCATGAAATGCTCTTGTGTATGTGTGATCCATCAGTGGCATGCATCTCAGTCCATTTCCTCAGATCTCAGAACTGTTAGGTATATAAATGTCTACACTGGCTGAAATAGATTGGACCTACATGTTAATGCAGGACGTTCAATAATATATGTACCCACATTTTAGATTCCTGAAAGCTCAGTTTTATACATACATTTTCTCAAAAGAAAGTGATTTGCTGAGTATGATACCCTACTCTCTCTGCATTGCCATCTCAGATTATACAGATTAATGGTGACCACTAAATAAGACTAACCAATTTATTTCTATGCGGCTTATTTAATGATCCACATTGCTTGTTCTCTGTCTTCCCACAGGTCAGTTATGCATCATCCAGCCGACTCTTGAGCAACAAAAACCAGTTCAAATCCTTCCTCCGCACAATCCCCAATGATGAGCATCAAGCAACTGCAATGGCAGACATCATTGAGTATTTCCGATGGAACTGGGTGGGCACTATTGCAGCTGATGATGACTATGGCCGGCCAGGGATTGAAAAGTTCCGGGAGGAGGCAGAAGAAAGGGACATCTGCATTGATTTCAGTGAGCTTATTTCGCAGTACTCCGATGAGGAGGATATCCAGCAGGTAGTGGAGGTCATCCAGAATTCCACTGCTAAAGTGATTGTTGTCTTCTCCAGTGGCCCAGACCTGGAACCTCTTATCAAAGAGATAGTCAGGCGTAACATCACTGGCCGAATTTGGCTGGCAAGTGAGGCTTGGGCTAGCTCCTCCCTGATAGCCATGCCAGAATTCTTCAGCGTCATTGGCAGTACCATTGGATTTGCACTGAAGGCAGGGCAGATCCCAGGGTTTCGCGAGTTTCTGCAAAAGGTCCATCCCAATAATCCTACCAACAATGGCTTTGCCAAAGAGTTTTGGGAGGAGACCTTTAACTGCTACCTCCCAGATGGGCCCAAGAATTCCCCAGCGTCCAGCTCCTTCCACAAGAGCCATGAAGAAAGCAGTGGAAACAGCACAGCTTTCTTCCGTCCCCTGTGCACAGGGGAGGAGAACATCACCAGTGTGGAGACACCATACATGGACTATACACACTTGCGGATATCCTATAATGTGTATTTGGCAGTGTACTCCATTGCCCATGCTTTGCAGGATATATATACCTGCACTCCTGGGAAAGGGCTCTTCACTAATGGATCATGTGCAGACATTAAGAAGGTTGAGGCCTGGCAGGTAAGTTTCAGTAGTACAAGGAACATCTCTGCTGTATGTCAAATAGAATAGCTACTATAGCCACAGGCCGTCCCCAGTGCTAGCAAGGGAAAGGTTCCCTTTGATCTTATACAAACAAGTGGGACTGGTAAGAAATGAGAACCTAAGTCAGTGAGCATGGATACATTTTTAGGGTTCAGCTTGTCGAGTATTTCCTACATCTTTTGCATTTCTGCAGCAACCATAGGTACAGAACAGATTTTTTTTCCAGTGTCTTATATATAAGCCCAAACTAGAGCAGTTTGAATACTGAAGGAAAATAATTAGCAAATATTAGGTCTTTGTTTTGATTGGGGGAGAGGGGGGACAGGGCACAGGTGACATAGCAGGGAAGTGGCGGAGGAGGACAGGGACACACACACCTCTCCAGATTTCTGTACCTATAGAGGGGCTTGGGGCATGGGGCTGCAGCTGGGCCAGACCAGCTCTGTGCAGAAGCTGCTTCCATGGCTCAGCAGGCAGGACCTGCTATGGCAGGGCACGCTGCACTGCCATGGCCACCAAGGTGAGGCTCAGTGGCATGGAGTTCTGCCCCTGCTGCTGCAGGGCAGGTTGGGGGGACCTCACCTTGGCAGCCATGACAGTGTGGCATGTCCTCCCTCTCTGGGTCCTGTCCACCAGGTCATGGAGGCGGCTCCTGCCCACAGCTGGTCCAGCCCAAGTGCAGTCCGCACCTCACTGTGGGTGCAGAAATTTTGGGGGACATATGTTCCCTGCCCTCCTGCTGCATCGCCTGTGCCCCCCCCCCATAGACTTATCTGGAGGGAGCTGCAGGAGCTCTTCTCCACCACCCTGCCTAGTTGCCACATGCATGCACACACACACATGCCCTTGGTGCCTCCTGCCCCCTATTCCCCCCAACCCCAAGCAGCCCCTTGCAGACTGGAACTCTGCAAGGGGGAACCCACTGTTTCCCAGGTTTTAAAGGAGAAAATCCACGTTTTTCTGCAGCAAACAAAAGCCAGATCCCTGCTCATGAGTGACACACAACAGGAGGAAAGTTGTATTTGAAACAGAAGGATTACTGGGGAACAAATAGTCTCTATTAAAGGTCAGTCTTTTCAGTTGACCAGAGATAATCTCAATGTTGATCTAATAATACCTGCAAGGAAGAGAGATTTCTGATCCTAAAGGAGTCATTAATTTAGAATACAGTGGTAATATGAGAACAAATAGTTGCATTGCAAGCTGAGTTTACGCAAATTAAGATTTAATTAAGATGCTTATTGTTAACAGTGAGCAAAATTAGCAATTAGAATAGCTTATTTTTGGAAGTTATGTATTCTCTATCAAAAAGTAGTCATCAATGGCCGAATGTTTAGTTGAGAGGAGGCATCAAGTAGAGTTCCCCAGAGGCCTGGCCTGAGTCCAGTACTGTTTAATATCTCCATTAATAATTTGGATGATGAGATTAAATGGACGTTTAGCAAGTTGAGTGATATTGCAGACAGTGTGGAGGGTAAGGCTAGGATCCTAAATGACCTGGATAAACTGGAAATATGATCCCCCCAAAAATCAATTTAATTAAATTCAGTAAGGATAAGAGCAAAGTCCTGCACTTGGAATGGTATAATTGCTTGCACAGATACAGACTGGGGAATGAGTGGCTAGGCCGCAGCACTGCAGAGAAGGTCCTGGGGCTTAAACAGTGTGCTCTTGTTGCAAAAGAATCCAACTGTATACTGGGGTATATGAACAAGAGTGGCACTTGCAAATCAAAGAAAGTTATCTTCTGCTGTACTTGGCACTGGTGAGGCCTCACTTGGAGTACTGTGTCCAGTTTTGGGCCCTATGCTTCAAGTAAGATATAGACAGATAAGAGCAAGTTCAACAGACAGCATCAAAACTGATTAGAGGCCTGGAAGACATGCCTTACATGGAAGGGCTGAAAGAAAGATTTATTTAATCTGGAAAAGAGAAGCCTGAGAGGGGGTTTGATAAGTCTTCAAATACCCAAAGGGTGATTATGAAAAGCACATTGGACAGTCACGTGGTGGGATAGTTTAGTCAGGCATGATCCTATCTTGAGCAGGAGTGACAGACTAGATGACCTCATGAGGTCCCTTCCAGCCCTGCTTTCCTATGACTACAGTCAATCCTACCAGTAAACTTTATAGCCCTTTTTCTACTTCAGAAGATTTTAACACTGTGGCTAGAAAGAGTTGTCCACACTCTCCTGCCATCCCAGGTAGAAACTCCCCTGGCCTCAGGGGCCCAAATTCTGGGGGAAGAGGGCCCCATGTGCCCCATCCCAATTTGAATGATATGCCTACAAATGGAGAAACCTCCACTTCCAGACCTGGCCACATGTCACAGCATGGGGAAGATACTCCAGCAGGAGAAGCAAAATGCACCAGGCACCAGTGCAACTATCAGCATGCTGCTCCTGGGTCAGGGACCACATACAAGTAGAGGGGGAAAAACTCCTAGGGCAGTTCTCTGCTCTGTGCTTGCAGACCTACACCAGGGGAATGATCCGCCATCACAGCATGCAAGTGAAGGGGGGAATCTCTCTGCACTTGCAGAGGCATGCTGGGAGAATGATTCCCTTGGATACAGGTCTGGAAAGTGCAGAGTGAGGAATTCATTCCTCTAGGACAGCAGTTCCCACTCTGTGGTATGCGTACCACCAGCGGTACTCAAACAACCTGTCCATGGTACGCAATAACAGATTTATTATAATTACTTTATATGACAAAAATTTGCTAGTGGTATTTATGGTTGTATCATTTTAAATTGGTGGTGCACAATCTGTCAGAGTTTGGGAACTGGTGCTGTAGGGGTCCCCTCCTCCACTTGCATGTGGCGCCCCCAGCCCAGGGACAGCAGTGAGAAGAGTGCACCAAGTGTTAGCGTGCGTATAGTACTGCCATCTCCAGGTCAGGGGCCACGTACAAAAAGAAGGGCAAATCCCTTGGGGTGCTCTCCACCCCAAGCTTTGTAGACCTGCAGCAGGCGAATCATCCATTTAGCACAGTGGTCACTAACCAGTGAATCTCGATCCACTGCTAGATCTTGGAGCCTCTTGCGGTAGATCTCGGAGCCTCTTGGAGTCGATCCTAGGCTGGGTCGGGGGGGCTGAGTACCTGTGTGCATGCAGCCCAGAAGGCATATGTCCCAGCCCAGCAGGCCAGTCAATGGGGGAGAGAAGGGGCAGGGGCTAGATCAAGGCCCCCCAGTGAGGGACACTGCCACAGAGGCAGGAGCAGGGATAAGTTGAATGGGGTCCCGGCCAGGACTTACCTGCTGGGGAGGCACACCCCCAAATAATTTTTTCTCCCTCTGCCTCAATCTGCTCCCCCCTTCCCTCCCCAGAGACTTACCTACTGGGTAAGGGGTGGGGGAGAGAGGGGGATGGCAGTGCACAGTAGATCTTGGGCTGCTTTTAAATGCCAAAGGTGATCTCCTACTTAAAAAGGTTGGAGACCACTGATTTAGTATGTGTCTGCAGGTGCAGAGGGCTTTCCCACTCCATGTGCACACTGTGGCGGGAGAATTATTAACTGGGATTGATGTCAGGCTAACCAACCTATCAGTAACATATTGAAGGCTGGGAGACCCAGGATACTAGGCCAGAATGCAGGAACAGCAGCTGTCACAACTAGCCTGACCCCAGCCAGCCAAGGCACAGACCCTGGCTGTTATGCCTCTGCAGCCTATACTTATATTTTTCATCCTCTTTGCTTTTTTTTTTTTTTTAAATACTGGTGCAACATTGCCACTCCTTCAGTTACCTGTAGTTTCAAATGCTTGTAAATTACTTGCCTAACAGCTGCCCTCTTTATCAACATACCAAGGACTGAAGAAGCTTCAAGCATCTACAGCTAGAGGCTGTAAAAACTAATTTCCTGTGCTGACTGGTTTAAAGAATTTGTAATACACTCCAGACTGGATTAGACATAGATGTTCATTAGAAATGCAGATTATGATTATTACTGCGTAAAATAATTGGTAACTTTCTGTACTTAAACAAAGTTACCAATAAGTGCACTCTTCTTAAGAATCTGTTATAAACTGTTAATGTTAACACCCATTTTGTCTCTAGTATAGTCTATCCATCTGATTTTGGCAATCTGCTGTATTGAATTTGAAATCACCCAGGCTGTTTCCTAATGTCTTTCTTAGGAATTTCTACTGTTCTTAATGAAGGTAGGAGGTACATTTGTATCTCTCTCTACTGCTCTTAATGTCACAATGTGACTTCTCATGAAGAGTGGCTGTGAGCTAATGTTCTGTTGTTTTCAGTAGTAAAGGCTGCTGCAGATCAGTTCTGGTGGGTAAGGGAGCAGTGTATCCAAGAGAAGAGAAGAGAAGAACACAAAGGGAAGATGATTTTTCCTTTTTCCTGGTACTATGAAATAAAATAACCTTTCCTTGACTCCTTGTATACTTCTGCTTCTCCCTCACTCTCCATCTCTCTTACTCTGCCACCTCCAACACTAGAAGTTTTCTGATTGTTCATTTTGAGATACATTTTTGGCCAAACTTCCTCCTCCCTCAGTTTTCTTTTCTCCTTCTTCCTGGCACTTGCTTTCCTTTTCGTGTTTGAGAGGTAGCGTTCTGATGCCTGATCCAACTCACATTGAAGTTGATTAGAATTTTTCATTTGGCTTTAAAAAATGGAAGTTGGATCAGACTCCTGGAGCCTAGGGTCAGCAATAGGATTGCAGACAGGAGGACTCTTTTTGAAAATATAAGAACGGATCTTTCAGCTGCAGGTGTATTATAGGCCCCTAATAGGACATCAGCTGCCAATAAAACGTGGACTTCTGTCTTTCTCTTGTTGAGTCTGATTTTTCTCTTCAGTAAGACAGCTCAGCATATCCTGGGAAACTACCAGCTGGAGGGAATGGGCTCATGATCTCCCTTCCGGCTTCCCAGTCTACCCTGGGGCTGGGATCTCAAAGATTATTCACTCCTGGAATGAAATGTACTTCACTTCCTCTCCGCCCCCCATTTGG